GGCGCGGGGGGCGCGGCGGGGGGCGGCGGCCGTGGTTTCGGGCCTTTGGGGATGGCGCAAGGTGCCGTCGTTTTGCACTGCCAGCTCCTGTGATATTGTTGCTCCAAACGATCAGATCGTCTTGTTTTCCAATGTTTGAGGCATCAATTTGTGTGAGCATACAAGTGTGTTGGTGTCTTTGCCTGATGTAATCATTCTACTCTGAACGAAAGCAGTGAATGGTTCGTGCTGGCTAAGACGCAGGCCAGCTTGGTCAAACTATTGAAGACAGCTGACTAAAGCGCATCTGGCTAAAACACATTTGAAAACAGCCGTCCAACACACGAAGGGTCAAGCAGGAACGAAAAAAGAGTGCTGCAACTGGTCACACGAACACAGTGGGGCCCGCACTGGCGAAGATCGCAAGAAAATTTTCACAGCAGTGCTGCCGTCCCTGCTTGCGTTGCGCCGTTGCGGATGCCCTCCCACCACCCCTCAAACCCGGGGTACGCCGCCTTGAACGTCGGCGGCGGCACCCAGCTGGGGGGTCTCGTCAGGAGGCCCGCCGCAGGGTAGAACCAGGGCCGCGGGGCCCTCTCGGCGACGAGGTATTGCAGGACCCCGTACGCCTGCCGCGGCGCGAGCGGCGCCTTGGCCAGCGCGGCCAAGGGCATCGCCCGCAGGTCCTCCAGCAGCGAGGGGCTCGCCGCCGCGAGCGCGCACAGCCAGCGGTAGCGCGGCACGAACAGTTCGCTGGCCCACGCGCTGGGGCAGCTGGCGAGCAGCGCGCCGATGAGGGCGCCAGCACGGCTGCTGGGGGGCCGCCACAGGGCTGGCGAGAAGGGCGCCAGGTTGGCGGCTGCGGCGAGCACAGTGGGGACGGCTGGGTGCACGCCACCAGGCGCGGCCAGGAGGGCGCGAGCTCGGGCAGCCACGGCGGGGCAAGGGGCCAGGGTCGAGCCGAGCTCCTGAGCCATAGCAGAGGCACCCAGCTGGAAGGCTGCCTGCGGCGTCGTTGACGCAGCGACCACGGCCGCCATCGCGGGCCCATGTCCGTCTGCGAAGCTTTGGCTGCTGTCGCCCTCTCCTCCGCGCCCGCTGCAATCGCCATCGCTGCCGCGGCCGCCGCCACCCTCGCCACTGTCACCGCCGCCACCCTCGCTGCCGCTGCTACCGCCGCCGCTGCCGCCGCCTGCAAAAACGGCGCCCTGACGGATGCCGCCGCCGCCGCAGCAGCTGCTGCTGCTGCCAAGGCCGCCATCATGCTCCCCCGCGCGCCCCGCATGGGCAGGCGCCACCGAGTGCCCCGTGACGGCCAGCAGCGTCTCTGCCGCATCCGCGCGCGACCGCCACTCTGCCCAGGTCAGCTTGGCCAGGGGCGGCCACTCCGCAAGCAGCTGTGCCACCTGGGGCCGCGGCAGCCCCAGCCAGGACGCAAGAATGGAGTCGAGCGCCGCCTCAACCACCCCGTCCTTCCGCAGCTCCTGGGCTCCCACTGCCGGTTGCTCCCCACCACCGGCGCCTGGGCCCAGGTCGCGGCTGCTGCGGCCGCCGTGGCTGCCCGTGCCAGCGCTGCTGCTGGCGCCGCCGTCGCTGGCGCCGCCACTGCGAGTGCGATCGCCGCTGCTGCTGGCTTCCAAGCCGCCACCACGTTCAGGACGCTGGTCCGGCGACAAACCGCCACTCCGCTGCTGCCAAACACGACACGCACCCACGCGGCCCCCCTCTCCCTCGAGCCCGGCTGCGCCGGTGCCGTCCTGCCACCACTGCTGCGGCTGTTGCTGGGCCCAGACCGAGGCTCCCCCGCCGCCCGCCTTGACAAGGCGCTTGGGGGCATCGCTGCCATCCTCGGGCGCGGCGCGGCGCGGCGACATGAGGCAGCCGGAGATGGGCACAGCCCAGTCTGGGCCGACAGCGGCGTTGTACCTGCCCGTGTTGCGGTTGAGCGGCGGCGTTGCAGTGCCGACATTCAGCAAGTGGAGCCACGGGGAGACCAAAGGGGGGCGGAGGGACGAGCTAGCGCCCAATCGCTTGCGTCTTCAACTGAAGACTTTGCCCCATTGATCACGGACTCATCGCAAACGCCACCCGCGAGCCGCAAAACTCCCACCCCCACGCCGCAATCAAGCAAGACGTCCATGCACACTCGCGCAACCCTTGCAGCCCAGCAGGCACCCACCCATCCAACCATGCCGCGTAGTCGGGATAGTCCCGCGTAAACGCCGCGTGCGTCGCCCTCAGCGCTGCGAAAAGCGTGGTGCTGCCCGCCTGCCCGGTAGCCACCAGGAATGCCAGCCGGTATACGCAGCCCCAGCTGGCCATGATCACGCGCACCGCGTGGAACGGCCCGCCGCGCTCCCAGGCGGCCGCCCACGCGGGGTTCAGGGATGCCAGGGCGCCCGTGACGGCGAGCTTGGCGGCGGCGTGGGCGGTGGGGTAGCGCAGGATCGGTGTGTGCTTGTGCAGCAGCGGGTAGAGATCGTCATCTGTTGGAGGGGCGGGCAAGCATGTAGGATTTTGACGATTGGAGGGGTGTGCAAACTGCGGCCTGGCCGAGGGTAATCAGGACTCAAGCCGAGCCCGCAAAAAGGGAGATGCGCGGCTCAGCTCGCCCCCAAAAATGAGGAAAATGACTTCCAGGCGTCAACAGGGCCGCGGGCCCTTCAGCCGTGCTTAAAGCTGCCCCACCTGTCACTTTCAGCAGGCGGCGCAGGGCGTCCACTCGCTCCGGAAGCTGGGTGATGATCGACAGCAGGGGCCGGTTGGAGGTCAGCAGGGTGGTGCCCAGCTTGCGCGGAAGGCGCAGGACCTGTGCCGATGCAAGGGGGCAAAAGGGCGGAGGCGGGGGTTGGGTGGGTACAGGCAAAGTGCTGTTCACGCCATGCCAGCCCCTTGAGCCACCGAACCCCACCTCGAAATTAGTGATTGCTTGCGCCTGAAGCCCCACACCACATGCAGCCCCCAAGAGCCGAGGCCCACCTGCATCACGTAACTCCACCGCGTCGCCAGCGTCATCATGTTGTAGCTCAGCAGCCCAGGCTCCTTGATCAACAGCGCCCTGACGTGCTCCTCCCCCTCCCCGAGCAGCGCCACCAGGCTGGCCGCGTTGGCGCGGAGCGCGCCAGGGTCGCGCGCGAGCAGGTTGGGGTAGGTCGCGCACACGTGGCGCATCTCGTCGCGCGACGCGCCAAGCAGGCGCTGCAGCGTGCGGTGCCTGTTTCGGTTGCAGGTTCAAATTGAGCGCGGCAGGTGTGCTGGAGCGCGTGAAGAGGCGGTCAGCATGCTGCACCCCTGTTGACGGCGGCGACACACCCACTCGCGGCAAAAGCGGCTCACCAGCCACTCGGTGCACGCATCCATCCGCAGTGTTTCATGGTCTGCAGGACCACGGACCCATCCCTGGGGGGTTGCGCGAGCGCAGCGCTCATGATCCCCGGCTGCAGCAGGCTCTCGACCACCACCAGGCGCACCTGTCCTGCAGCACCGCCTTGCTGGTCGTCGTCAGCTGCGGCCAGCTGCGGTAGGAGCGCACCACGCGCGCCCGGCTGACGCCTCCAGCCTCCTGCAGCCACGCCATATGAGCCGCGAGCCGGCCCTCGGGCAGGCGCAGCACGTCGGGCGCGCGCAGCAGAAACGAGGACAGGGCAGCACCGTCGAGCTGCCGCGCGGTTGGATTGGTGGGGGGCGTGGGTCAGCGGCTGCTGCGTGTTCAGTCTCGGCCAGCAGCTGGCTTCAACTCATGCACAGAAGCGGTTTGCCCAGGCACACCTTGTGGCCACGAGTCGGGCATCCTGCCATCCACGAAGAATATAGCACATACACTGTGTGCTATATTCTGTGTACGCTCTTGTGCGCCCGCGCACGTATCCACTAGTGCCTCGAGCGCACCTCCAGTAGCTCCCGCAGCATGGCGCGGCGCGCCGCCAGCAGCGCCGGCGACGACCGTAGCAATGTCGGGTGGCCGCGAACAAGCGTCGTTGCCTGGGTGGGCGCCAACTGCAGCGCGCTGATCAGGCCCTCGAAGTTGTGCCGCACCCGGCGCTCGGTAAGGCTGAGCAATGACGGCTCGCTGTCAGGGGAGGCAGACAACGGGGCGCCAGTGTTGACAGTCGAATGCGCCCGGGTGAGGCCAAGGACAAGTCCCCAACTGCAGTAGGACGAGATGCAATTCCACACCCGACTGCGAGGCTTGCCCACTGCTTATGCACACCACACGCACGCGCGCGCGCGATTCTGCCCAGCAGCCCCACACACTCACGTGACGAGCATCCTGTTGGCGTGCTCCCGCCCAAACAGCGCCTGCAGCGCCTGTGCCCGCCCCAGGATCCTGTCCCGTGCCTGCTGCGTGGGTGCCGGATGCCAGCCTACGACTGCCATGACTGCGCTGTGGCTCAGGCGCTGCGCTGCTAGTGCTGCCTGCAATTCGGCTCGGCCGTCCGGTGCGGCTGCATGCTGGGAGGCTGGCGCGCGCAGGGGCCCCTCCGTGACAAAGCGGTGAGCGGGCAAGAGCGCAGATCTGGCTGCGGCCGTACAAACCGCTGCGGCATCTCGCGCATCAACGGCGCGCACACGCTGCAGCAGGCGTGCCAGCTGCATCAGCCGATGGCGGAGCGGCACCAGCAGAGATGTGCGTGTTGCCGCTTCGGCCGAGCGCGCCCGTGTTTCAGTAGCCTGTAGACGTGCATGAGGCTACAGAGTTGTCGTGACAATCCATTCAAGTACCTTAGACTCGGGTGTCTCAAAGCGGCCAAACTGACCGAGGGAGATCAGAGCCGCCGACAGCGCAAGTCGACAAGGACTTCATTTCAACCGTGTACTTTATTTTGCCGAACTGACGCAAGCCCAGCAGCACCGCTGGGTTTGACCTGACTCCCGCACCCGACTCACCCGTCCACCCGACTCCGCGTACACCGCATCAATGTAGTATGATGACTGCCGTATTATTCCACTTGATATAGCCATACCGGTGCACATGTGTTTGTGACATGCAGACGCAACGCATGTGCCGCAAAGAGTGGGGTTGAGATGTGTGCTGCACGATTCTTTCAAAGGGGGTGCCGCAGGTGACTGTATGCAATGGATTGATCAAACCTACACAAACACGCCTTACAGTCAGCTCATCCCTCACTTTGCGAGCGCAAGAATACGGCAGTGCTTCATAGAGTGTTCTTGGCCGTCCCCCCGCTATCGCCCACGCACCCTTCTTTCCGCCCCCACTGCCTGTTGCTCACACCGCACGTGAACCAGCTGCACCTCTTACAACTTCAGCCTGCCCTGTGCATGCAGCCTGTCTCAACGCAACCTACATACTCATTGTAACACATCCCTAAGACCATGCTCGCTGCGAACATGACAACCCTAAAATGCTCCCATCTCATAATCTCAGCAGGATCATGATGCACACTCTGCGAAGTCAGGTCCAAGAAACAACCGCTTCTGATCCCTCACACGCAATTATGCATCCGTGGATCCTCAACAGGCTACTGCAACACCCTTCTCTCACGCACGTAACTCAATGCGCGCAGGCACACCTGTCTCCGTATAACGGGTTGTCAGGTCTTGATGCACGGCCCTAGATTTGCAATCCTGCTGCGAGACTCTTTTGTTCACCCCTGCATGCATGATCAGTTTGTGGGTGAGAAAAGCTGCATGCATGCGGAAGGCATGCATCGACGGACAGGCTCATTCAAGGGGCTGCGTGCACCATTGAGCAGCAGCTTGATGGTGCAGCAACAGTGGTGCATCCCACATAGGGCTTGCAGCTGCAAGTAGTTTGGGTGACTGCGTGTCACGCAATTCACGGGCAACCCCCATACGATGCCCCGTGCCATTGCAACTCTTCAAGCATTCCTCTTTGTTTGTTTGTAGTAACAGTACCGACATCATTCCTTTCAATTGTCCTCCGTTGACCAGATCCGCAACTCGCCTGCACCCATCTCCGCAATTGGCCAGGGCTATCTACACGCCTGTAGCTGTGTCTTGGTGACCTGTGAGCCGAGCGTTGCACATGCACGGGAATTCCTGTCTTGCCATTTGTGGTTGTGTACCATGTGCAAGGCACCCTCTCAAGGGGATGGCGGTCACTTCGAAATCTGGTCCTGCAGGGACCAGGGCACAGGTCAGACATAGGAAACAGCCACAGTCCTGTGCACAAGGATGGTTGGACCTGTGCTCGGACTAACGTTGTAACTGATACGAGTGGTATACAACAGAAAGTGGTACAGATGCAATGGGCGGGCTGGGCAGGATCACAGGGTGAGCGCTGAACAGCCGAGCGCAGGAGTGCGACAGGCGTGACTGCGACTCGGTGTCGGGGAGATGCATGCCTGGAGCCTAGAAGATCACGATGAAGAACACAATCAAAATTATTTCCTGTATGCACACGCGCAAGCGTTCTCTCGTGAACCAACCTCAGCGCTTGATCTCGCGCCATTTCGTTGTCGCAGGTGCCGTCGTGGACAATTCGCTGATAGATCGTGTCAACCTACTGCAATATATCAACTCCATCGTCAGATGAGCTCGCTAGCCTCAACGCTTGGGCTCTGCTGCATCGCCACTGCGCTCCTCTTCCTGCGCGGCGTGCACGCTGGCGTGGATTGGAACTGGCAGCACGGCCGCGCCACGCACTACGGTGGGCCTAACGACCCCTGGTCAATCCACTCCGGGGTAGGTAGCCTGTCTGGCGGCGCGCGCATGGCACAGCTCTGGATCAAACTGTAGCCCTGCTGAGTTCTTGCACTTGCGCGCCATGGGCGGGCTGATGCCAAGCACTTCAGCACGGGCCCCCCATCAGCTTCGCCATGGAATTCTGCCTGATGCGTCAGAGGCGTGCTGCGCGTAGGCGGGTGCCAACGCCACGCCGCGCCGCCAGTTGCGCGAATCGCACTCGCATGTTGACTTGCGTCAGCCCCAAACCCACCTTGGCCCATTGGTGCCTTTGTGCATTCTTCCCATGCCCCCACCCCCCAGAGCTGCCAATACTATTACCTTGACCCCAGCGCTGGCACTGGCTGGGATGTTGCGGCGGTGAGCAGCAGCCGGGTGCTGGT